ACCCCCCCCCCCCCCCTCCCGCCCCGTGCCACTGGTGACTAGCGCCTCGTCGAAAGAGGCGTCACGGTTGTCCACATGCGTCTCCAGAAAAAAAAGGTCTCAAAATTCTAGAGAGCTCAAAAGCGATGATGATTGATGATTGGTATCGATGCCAGCCAGCCGGCCGACAAGAACGGGAAGACCTAAAAGAGCGCTATCAGAGCCCTGTTTGGTGAGGGATGGAAGTTCTTGCTACACCATCCCTCGCGCAACGCCCACGAACGTTGAGGTAGGAGACAACTAACACAACACGCACAGACAAGACACACGTAAAAAAACAAAACAAGAGAAAAGAAATATGAATGAGATCAGACTCTCGTCTGTTCTGCGCGGTCCCCGCTGCCGCGGAAACGAGACGAGGGTACCGTTAAGGCGCTACCCCTCCCGTCCTCTGTCGGCGGCAAGGGAGCGGAGCGACCGACTACGCCATGGCAGCCGGGGAGTGAATCGGGCTCATCGCGCCCCTGCCGTCCAGCGACTCGTGGTCCGACAAGTCTTCCATGGTCTCCAAGCCCACGACTCCTGTCGTCATCGCCGGTATTGCTACCCCGGCCTCGCTGTAAAAATGACATCAAAAGAACAAAAAAACGAAAAAATGCCGGGCGGGAGGGGGGTAGGGGAGATGAGCAATGGCAACAGAGAGGGGGGAAAGAGAGGCGACCCTCCAAGATACGTCAAACCATGACAAAAATCAGCACTCGTTAGCGAGAACACCAGACAAAACAAAGCCCCCACCCGAACACAGTTTTATGCCTCCAGCATACATACCTATGCTATCATACAAGTAGTACATAACTCCGCGTGCGGCGCACTTCCTTGCGCAGGCATGTAGGACCCCCAGAGCACAATTTTAGGCCTCCACCATGCACAACTCCACTTGCTCGGCGCATACAAAACACACAGTGTAACTCACTCGACGGCGACGGCCCGAGAGACCTGAACAATCTCGACCTGGTCCGCCTCCACACCCGTAACGATCACCGTCACGACTTTCTCCCTGTCGTAGCTCCCACTGCCGCCGCCGCCGCCGCCACCGCCGCCGCCGCCACCGCCGCCGAGTCTCCCCAGCACCCCCGCGCCGCTCGCGTTCCTGACCGCGCCTGTCATCCAGCCGCCTCCGCTCTCCGGTGCACCGCCGCCGCTGTTGTTGATGTTGTTGTTGCTGCTGCTGTTCTCCGCCCGCCCGAGCAATGCAGCAAAGTCTACTAGCGACGATTGCCTCGAGTACCACGATGCAGAGGGTGCGCTATTGCTGTCGTCCGCCGGGGCCACCGCCGCCGCGTTTCCTCCTGTGTGCGTGACGGGTCG